GATTAGAGGATATGACTTTGCCCCTTTAATGAGTATCAGTGATGTTGGCAGCGTTCTGCTGGTTTATGTTTTTTTTTTTTTAAATGTTAGTACTCATATTTCACATTTGATTTGTTTTCAGTATCCTTACTCTTAGAAAGGGGCTCAGGAAATTGAATTACATTTTGTATATTTAGTTCTAATCTCATTCTTATTTTAAAAATCCTTACAATTTGTAAAGGCTTTTGCAAATAGGGGTCTGTAGTATCTGTAAGTCTGGGAGGCTAGGGGGGAAATACCACACAGGAGTCGGGTTTGATCACAGTGGAGAAAGTACTCTATAGTATACTTACAGGAAAAGGAACTGAATTATATTCCAAGAAAGAGTAGGACCAGTTGGTCTGTTCTGAGTAAACAGACTGGTGTCTGAGGGGGTCAGTCAAAACCAAAGTGGATAATTGCCATTTGGGGACTTTAATCCAATGGGCAGGAAGCATTTTTTGCACATGTAGGCTGGAAATGGACACATCCTTCCCATCCCATCCGAGAGCAGCAGGGGATGGGGGGATGGGTGGGGCCGTGGTTGGTGAGAGCTGTGATGCCTTTTCTTCTGTGAAATGTTGAGCATCTACAGCACAGAACTGACGAGTAAGTCCTGCACATGTCGAGGCTTAAGCTGAGGTGCCTGGATAGTTAGGTGGTTCTGAGAATGTATTTGTTCAGTGGAGCTCTTGAATAATTTCATGTGTGCCAGCTTGCTAGTGCTAGAGATACAGAGATGACCAAAACACAGCCCGTTCTTCTGAAAAGCTGTCAGTCCACTGAAGCGCACAGCTATTTAGAACCATTAGAAGAGAATACCCATACATTCCCAATACCAATCTCCCTGCCCACATGAATTTGCTTCAGGAACCACTTTGTGGTCCATCCACTGCACTTGATGAATGGTCCATGCTCCCGAGACAAGCTCTGTCCGCCTTGTGCACTCATCCCCTCTCCCTGCTCCAGGACATTGTTCCTGCAAGTTGGCTCCTTTCTCTGTTGGATTGTTTTCCCTCTTTCCTATCATCAAACATGCTGTGACATATCCAATCTTAAATAATTTCCTCCTTTGACACCATAGTCCTCTCCAACTTTTACATTTCTTTTTTCCTTTTTGTAGCAGAACTCCTTGTAAACGGTTGTTTATACCTGCTGCTTCCCCTTCTGTCTCCAATTTACTCCAGTCAGGTACCTTTACTAAAATTGCTCTTGCCAGGTTCACCAGTGACCTCTGTATGGCCAAGTACAGCTGTCGCTTCTGAGTCCGTGTCTTAGAGTCTTCATCTGTAAGCATTTGACATAGCTGATCACTCTTTCCTTCCTGACATACCTTTACTGGGCTTTCTGGACACAGTTCCTCTTGGTTATTAGTTCTTTTCTCATTTCACTGGCTGTTCCTTCAATCATCCTTGCTCGTTCCTGCTCATTATTATGATATCTAAATGTTAGAGCCCCCAGGGTAGTTCTTCGTTTATTTCTCCACCTATACTAAGTTGGAATTTTATGGAGCTCCATACCTTTGAAGTACTCTCTGTATGCAGACACTACCCAAATAGATATTTCCAAATCAGATCTCTCCTTTGAACCCTGGATTCCCTGCCTATGTATCATCTGAATTTGAATCTTTAATAGGCATGTCTATTTAACATGTCTAAAAGTCCTAATCTCCCCCACAGATCTGCTCCTCTGTAGTCTTCCTATCTCAGTAGAAGGAATCTGTGTCCTGTGAGTTGCTTGGGGCAAAAATTTTGGAATCAAGGATAACTACTCTTGTTTTCGTGTCCCACATTGAATCAGCAAATCCGGCTGGCTCCATCTTTAAGACATATCCAGAGTCCTGTCATTTTTATCACCAGCATTTAGGCTACCACCTTGGTCTAAGTCAGCATCATCTTGCCTAGATTATAATAGTTGCCTAATTTATCTTTCTCTTTCCCCCCCACCAATCTGTTTTCTACATAGCGGTCAGATTCTTTGAATACCTAAGCCAGATTATTTCACTCTTCGGCTCAAACTTCCCAGTGCTGTCTAATAGAATTTTCTGCAGTGATGGAAATGTTCTGTTTTGTACTATTATGGTAGCTATGGCCCCATGTGGCTGTTAAGCACTTAAAATCCAGTTAGTGCAAGGGGGTGACTGAATTTTACATTTTATTTAATTTTAATTAGTTTAAATATAAATAGCTGCGTGCATGAAAGCCAAAGTGTTCTTGTGATGTGAGAGGTGTTAAGAGAAATGGAACCCCTCTTGCTTCTCTGACTTCATCTCCTGCCAACACCGTTACCCTAATTTTCTTGCTGTTCTTTGAATGTACCCAATCTTGTGCTCATACATCCTCTTCCTGTGCCTGGAATGTTCTTCCTTCAAGGTATCCACTTGTGTGTTCCCTCATTTCAGGTCTGTGCTCAAATGTTACCTTGTCAGAGAGTTCTTCCCTGAGCACCCTATATAAAATAGCACCTTCCCTCACTTTCTGTCTCCAACCTTCTGTATTTCCTTTGAGTACTGATCGCCATCCAATGTATTTATTGTTTATGATCGGTTTCTTCCCCACTAGCATGTGAGCTCCAGGAGAGGAGGGGCCTCATGTGGTGATACTCTTGTAGCCCCTGGAGCCGATTAACAGTTGCCAGCCTGTAGTAGGCACTCGGTCAATATTTAGTTAATGAATAGTAATTAGAGTCAAGGTGATGCACTTTTGTTGGTGTATGGATGTAGGCTTCTTATAGTTACAGAGGAATTTGTAATGCCTTCAGCCTCAGGACTTGGGAAGACTTCATGGAGGCAATGAAGTTGGAATTAGGCCTTCAACAAGCAATAGAAATGTGTCTAATTTTAGTAGAGAGATTAATATTATGTGATTTACTTTATTTTTAGTTTTACCTTGTTTTAAATGATGGTGACATCTGGTATATGAGTTCTGTTGTGTGGTGGGTCCTACGCTAGCCACTGGCAATGCAAAGAAAACGATGAAGGAGATACCCTCACTTCCTTCAGGGAACTCTGGGTACCGTATATGATAATACAGTAGTGTCCACTGATTGCGACTAGAGGAAAGTGGTAAAAGGCTCAAGTACAGCTTTATTTCTTCTAGCATTTTAAAAGGTATGTTTAATTATTTAATAATGAAGAGATTGATGTGTAGAAAATGTATCAGTAGAAATGTCTGTTTCCATCAGCACCAGGTTTTTATTGATACGGATCAAATTTTCTTTTCCACCTCTCCCTCCTCTTTTTCTCATTATGGGATGGGAGTTCTTCAGAAAGCTGAGACAATAAAATTCATTAATTGTCCTTAAACTTTCAAAAATTACAAATCTGAATTGTTGAGATTTTCATTTTGAAAGAGAAGCACCAACTAGGATTACATGATAATTTTGGACTGCTACAGAATAGATACTGGGTGAATACCTGATGGGTTTAATGCTGTTAAAATCCAGTAGAAACAGATTTGACACTGCGTCTTAGTTCCCTTGTCATTACATGTTGTTGCTCATCATCATGTGCTGTGGGTGATGAATGAGATTTTCAAAAATACTCCTTCTTTTCTACAACCCACAGTGGAGTATATTCTTCAAAGCCACCTTCTACATCCCTCCCTCATCCAAGAAAATTCATCTTTCCTCTTAGCTGCCCGTGTTACTCTTATTTCTTTGAGCCCACCTTTGAATTTGGGACTTGTAAAATTATAAACATTTATAAATGTTTGATCTCTGTGTCCATGGAACAGCTTTAAAAATCTTCTTTAATCTCTGAGATGAGGCAGTCAAGAATAAGGCATCTTCGATTACAGAATCTCTTTGAAGTTTTCTTTCTACTTCAGTTTTTCCCTCTAGCGCTTCTGCTTTCAGTGGCTCAGAGGTGGGCTTTTTTTTTTATTAAATTTTTTTCCCTTTTTGTTTAGGTCTTTTTGGCAGTCATTCAAAAGTTCAGAGGCAAAATTAGTAAAATTATACTTTGAGTTTGGTTTATTGTTTTCAAGCTCTGCTTTTCTACCAAGGTTGTTGTTGGGGATGGAAGGAGCTCTCCTTTTAAAATATTTTCATCTATTTTACATTTTACTGCTGCTGCTTGTGGATATAATAGTCCTAAGCATGACCTGTTATTTTCTTTGAGAAGACTAGGAAGCTTAAATTAATCAAGATGTCTTGAGTATAGTTTAGCTACTATCTGTTTTTGTTTTAAAGGATTATGTACTTAAGTTTTGAAATGAAAAATTTGAAATCTTGTAATTTGGGACTTTTGTGGCTTTACCTGGATCAAAGTCTTAGTTCAGGTGATAATATTAAAAATATCACTACAAAAAGAAGGTATCTTCTTTTTTTGTTCAGGTTGTCCTGTGTGAAATTATTGGTGGTCTTTTTGTCTTCCCAAATACCTATTCTGCTACGTTGTGAAATTTGCTTCACCTTTGGTTAGGAGATTCACATACTAGGAATGTTCAGGCTCGATGGCGTTAGCACCAATAAGGTACACATGTCACAGTCTCTTGCATATTTATGCTGGGCTTTTACTTCAGTGATGGCTCTGCTGTTTTCTCCTTTATACTTAATATCATACACACGCATACACTCACACACTCACTCTGAAGAGAAAGAGTTTCAGATTGCCTCCTGTTTGACTTTAGATGTAATCGAAACTCTTACTGAAAGCCGATGAAATTGAAAGGCCTAACTTTGTAAGTAGAGTTTTTGTTTCTTTAATTCTGTAATTAATAATTATTGTTTCTCAAGTTTCCTTTGGGGAGTATTCTCATGGAACGTTCTAGGATCCTGTAATACTTCTTGTTTGATTAGAAAACAATTCATTACTTGCCTTTCAGTTCTTTAGGAAAGCGGGGTCGTCCTCGTTGACATCAGTGGGATTGAATTTCAGAAGAAGAATATACCATGAAAAACACTTTTTAATTATTATTTCAGGTAGTTTTTCTTTCATTTCAATGGAATATTAAGAATAAAGTCCAAATTTATGTTTCCAGGTTTTACAGAGTTCTTCATTGACTGTAGAATTGTATTGCTTTATTTGAAGCATTGGCGAGGTGTTACAGGGAAGCAGGTAAGAGAGTGTGTGATGGGGCCAGGCTGTGTTATGTGCAAGAGCCATTTCATTACTTGCTCTGTGGCCTTGAGGGCATTGTTTACCCTCCTGTACCTAGTTTTCTCATCTGTAAAGTAGGAAAAGAGTACCTGTTTTATACGGTTGTTATGATTAAGAAATGAATTTAAATGAAAATATTCAAGATACTTAGCATTGTACTGAGAAGAAACTCAGTATGATAGTAGTAGGCAGCTGCTACTGCTATTGGATTGTTTTGTTAGTATCAACAGACAGGTGTTTGAACGCTTGCTTTGTCATTTTCATAGTTGAGTGACTCTTCCAGCTTACCTGACTTGAAGTCTGATTTTCCATCTTCATGATGACGACTGTGTAATGTGGTACCTAATAAAGTCATCATGAGAATTACAGATAGGGTATGTAAATGGCCTGCTATCGGTTAGAATAGGTGGGGTGCTGTAACTTTACTGATCCTAGTGGTAGTTTTTGTATTGTTTCCTCTTGAAAACCCTGCCTGATTCCGTTTTCCTTTTTCCTTCATCTAACGTTGTAGTATTTAACCGTATCCTGCTAAGTGAATATCTGGAGAGTTTCTAAAAGGAGGAACTCTTTTGGGATTCTAGGGCTTTAGACATGATGGAAACAGATGTCTCTTAATTGCAGGCTGAGAGAGACATGGTGGGGATCATTAGGGTCCCACTACTGAGTGTCAAGAAAGCATGTTGCGTGCTGAGCCAACATTTTCTTCCTCCTTTACCTCCTATCTGTTATTCCCTTCTCTCTGTGCATTAATACCTGTTTTGAGGTTGTTATGGTAGCTGGAGTCATGGTGCAGACAGGGCAGTGCCTGCGTTAGGAACTGCAGGCCTTTCGTTTTAGACTGATGGCCTGGGGGCCACAGGGTGCTCTGCAGGCATTAATGGATTCAAAGAGCTTCCGAAAGGCATCGTTGGAAAGATGAAGTTGCATTTCCTTAAACTCTTATATTTGCAATGGGTCGAGTTACCAAGAGCATTGGCTGTGCTGGGGGCTTAGTTTTGTAATAAATTTGCTTTTGCTAATGTCACATACTGATTTTCTTTGCCCCAAAAGGCAAAATTGTTTCTAAACTGAAACCTCAGCTTACTGAGCCTAATATTGATTTTGAAGACTGTATAGTGATGACAGAAAAATAGGTTAGAGCCATTTTTGAAGAGAGAATACATTTGAACTTCTGCATTGAGTATGGCATGTGCTACATGTCTGACACATCCTGCTAAAGCAAGTCATTAATGACGTGACCTCCTGTCATGAGCACAGACGCATGTTTTAAATGCATAAATGACAGCCTACTGAGAAATGTCTGTTGTGTTCATTACAATATACATACGGAACTAGAGTCACATTAAACATTTCAAATAGCTAATTTTATCAACTCTTAATAATTAATTAGTTTTTAGCACTGAGGATAAAGGTAATTAACATAGATTTACTACATGCTATACGATTTTAGCCTCAGGAAGATGAAAAGGGGACGTTTATTTTTCATATACTTAAACGTTGGCATTTCTACTTTGATACTCTCGGGGTTTGTATATAACAAAAGAACTTAGTGAGTATTTTTATTATTATAAAACTATGATTATAAAATATACTTAATGCTTTTTAGTCTGTCTCAACTTAATTGCAGCCTGTTGGAATGTTAAAATTCCATCTTTAGCTTCTGCAGTTAAGTAAAAAAGTATTTTCTGGTATTGTGGTTTATTTTCACATTATTTTATTTACATTTTTATTAATTTGATCTTTAGAATGGGTTATATTTTCACATGGTTTAAAGTACCTAGAATGTAAAAAGATTTGTAGGCAGAAGTTTTGTTTCTGGGTACCTTTAATTTCTCAGTTCTTCTATGCTTTCCAAGTAAAAACATTAATTAGTTTATTGTGTATCATTCCATAGAGTTTGTAAAAATGCAAGCAAATACAACCATATATCTTTATTTTCTCTCCTTTATTACATTTTATTTTTTTATTTTTCCTTTATTACGTTTTAAAAAGTGAAGTCCAGAGATGATAAGGTAATAGATAGTAAATGTTAGCTGTTAGATAAGTACTTGGAAAGAACAAAGTCACAGTATTTTTGTACTTGGAAATCCGTTCATTGAGTTACGTGTATCCCTCCCTTTCCCTGTTATTTCAGGTTGAGTGTACATGTTTGCTTCATCTTCAGAAGAGAAAGTTCCTGGAGAAGACCTACCCTTTCTGGAATTGTTTCTGTTTGACCCATCCTATGCAAACTTACTCACTCATGCAAACACTGGGTGCTTTATACAAATATTGCCACCTGTATTTTTTATTTGTGTTTCTCAGAGGAGTTTTTGGTAAAATTTGCATAATGACTTGGCTCATTTAGCTTTGTATATTGTTAAGAGTTCAAATGTGGATATGAAAGATTATAGTGTGTACCAAATACAAAGGTTCTGTGACAGGCGACGTTCTCAGGATAACTCTGTTTTAGGTATTTAAATCTAATTTGCATATTGAACCGACACCTATGATTATTAATCTAACTCCATTTACAGTTGATGAAAATTTGCATAAAATTGGTCTTGATAGCTTAAGGTATGGTGAGCAAACGTTAACTCCTTTATGTAGTAAGCCCAAGTCTCACTGTCACGGTGAAAAATTAATCTAAGCGCATTTGGTATACTGATAATCTTTTCTAGAAATTAACTGTGGTATCATGTCAGAATGTCAGAAACATGTCTGACAGTTTGCCTTTTCATACTGGAAATGGTGGATAATATATTTCAAATCCTAGCAGCTGTGCTGTATCAAAATCTCCCTAAGTGAATCTCATTCTTGGTAGGCCTTGTGCCTTGTGATTTGTTTGATGATTTTGAAAAAAATTACAGTAATTTTATCCCTTTTCTCTTGGTTCTTGCTCTATTGCAGGCTTTCTTTTCTGGCCTTAACTGGTCACTTCCCAATTATTTGGTCTTTTTTTTTTTTTTAAATTTGTTGTTTGGGGAAGGTGATTCTTTTTATTAAATACTGTGTGGGTATGCATGTGTAATGGTTTACTGGGGGCAGCACGGGTACAGCTCTCCTTTTCAGACGAAGTTCCTGGCTCTTGACAAAGGCTGATTATTTCTTAGAACATTGATTGCCTCAGATTTGCAAAAGCAGAGGAAATCACACCTCTTATTTTAACTTTCTCCATCTGTGGTTAAACCTCCTGTCAATATATTGGTAAGGGTGCTGGGCCATTGACCAGGCCTCTGTATTTGAACAGTTTGATTTCTAAGTTTCACTGAAGTCATTATTCTTTGTTAGGACCTCAGGATGATACCACGTTCAGGGTGGTGGCTGAACAAACCAGTCCTTAAATAATACAATTTCTATTAAAACTTTTCTTCTTTTATCAGAGGAGTAGTCTGTGCCTTTTAAAATAAGATTTTAATAAGATGGTAATTAAACAATACTCAAGATGTTTGATTTTATTTATAAAGTTTTGGTTGCCTTGAGCACATCTCATGATGTACAAAACCTGGATGGTGAGTATATATATTAAAGAGTACTTATAAATTATGTCTGGCTAGCAAGCACTCTTGGTGTGTTTAAAGTATTAGATTTGTAAAATCCACTTTACGTACAATATTAGATTAGGATGCATGTTCTATAAAGTAAGGTGTTCCTCTGTGTGGCATATTTTTTCATTCCCAGGTTCTTTGGTGTGCTGTAAGATAAACAGCCATGTCCTTAGTTTCACTGATCCCAGGTCCCCTGAGGGAACTGGCAATTTCCCTTGGATGGCACTGCTAAATTTTCAGTTTTCTCTCTGCATTGTTCTCCCTGTGGCCCACACTTTGGTCAGATTACTGAGAAAGTCAGTGTTACTGATAAATGCTTTGTATATTCTAAAAGTCTCGGTACCTCTGAGAAAGAGCAGAAGCACATAATTAAATGCAGGTGGTGGCAACTTGTTTAATTTTGAGTTAATGTAGATTAACCCAGTGTCATTGGTCACTTGGGGTAGCACCACTTGGGAGTCCATAATAAAGATCATAATGATGCTTATTTTTTCTTTTAGGTAAATTAACGTTTGAGGATAGTAAGTTTTTACTACGTTTTAAGAAAAGATCGTTTTGGAGGGAGAAGAGTAAGTCGTGATTAAAGTTTTGAGCTGAATGAAGGAAGGAAAAAAAAATAAACAGAGTTGATTTAAATTTGTCCTCGGAGAATAAGAGATCAGTGCTCTCAGAGCTATTTCTCTGTTAGTGAGCTGGTAGTAGATGGGGATGAGGAAGATGATGATGTGAGCAAAAATCTGGGAGGATCAAGTACTGGCATACTAATAATGCAGACCTCCAAAATTTAACATGCATTGCATTGTGGAATTGTAATGGAGGCAAAAATACATGATAGCATTTAACTCAAGCATGTCTTATAGCTGATAAAACTGAGGCCCATGTAGAATGGGGCACCTTCCCCTTGTGCCAAGTTCTAGAACTAATTAGTGGCAGCCTGGAATCCAGATCTTATTTATTCAGCCCAGCACCTTTTCTGCACTATCCTCCTTCCATGTTTATACACCCCTTCCCTGTTTATTGCTTATGAGGAATTTTTACTTGGGTTACCAGATGGTTAGGTATGATTGAGAAGGAAGGTGGGAAAACCTAATGCAAAAGTTTATTTCACAGTTCTGCTGCAGACCAAGGCCACTGACAGTTAAGAATAGTAGCTAATGTTAACAGTGAGGGCTTGCTATATAAGAGGCATGTGTACTTTACGTGTAATTCTCAAAAGAGATCAGTGAGGTGGATAGCATTATTATACTGTTTCGTGGATGCAAAAGCTAAGTCTCAGAGAGGTGAAGTAATGTGCTAAAAATGCATACCTACTCAGTGTGAGAGCACAGATTTGAATTACCATATCCCGTTCAGCTTCCCATGGTATGTCATTCAGCATATAAGGGAAGGCCTTTGAATAAATCCAAAGCCCTTTTCAACTCTAACACCCTGGGACCACTGGATTTTAACTCTTTCTAAAAAAATTTTTTTCTTTTCAATTATAATATAGAAGGTTAGCTAATTGGATTACACTCTAGCTTCTGAGAGGGGTAAACTCCTTCATGTGGTAGAGTTCATTCAGGAAGGTCTGCCAACTCTTAGGAAGAATTGAAGTTAGCTTTGCTGTTATTTGGTCCTTAGGATTTCAGACTTTGCCTCATTGGTTGGTGATATTTCTTTCGGTAGTGGTTTTAAACCATCTTTAAAATGGTGTAGGGCGCCCGGGTGGCTCAGTCGGTTAAGCGACTGCCTTCGGCTCAGGTCATGATCCTGGAGTCCCTGGATCGAGTCCCGCATCGGGCTCCCTGCTCGGCAGGGAGCCTGCTTCTCCCTCTGACCCTCCCCCCTCTCATGTGCTCTCTCTCTCTCATTCTCTCTGTCTCAAATAAATAAATAAAATCTTTAAAAAAATAAAATAAAATGGTGTAATTATCGTCCTTTGAGGATTGATGGCAAATGGGCAAGTTACCCAATTTACCTTAGCTTGGAGAATTGGAATACATGTCTGCCTCTTGTGTTTCCATATTTTTTCTCTGGGATTCCTCCAAGATTACTGATAGATTCTGCAGCTTCACTTGCTTGTCCTGTCATTACCCTGGGATATGAGTTACCTGGGCTGGGCTAGAACAGTGAGACACTAATTCTTCTTACTCATCTTGGCCTCCAGTTCCTTTTAACCATATTTATTGTATTCTTTTGGTCACAACCAGTTTCTCCAGGCAAGGAAGAGAAACTCACTGGTAATCTTTTCTCCGGGTCTCCTTTATTATTTGGGACTATAGCCCTGTCATACTGATTAAATCTCAGAGGAGTGTAGATTTAGGGAGTGGCATCCATCTGTTCCCACTGTGTTTAGAAACAAGGAGGATATTGTGAGCAAAGGTGGTATTCTGTACCTTTTCCCCCTCCTACCTTTTCCTTCTTCTCCCTATTATTTGCCTCTGGCAAGTACCAATAAGAGAGTCACAGTGCAGACAGACCTCAAGGAATTTGATGCAAATCTATGTCCTCTTCTGCAGATAATGATTTTTCTTTTGAGAAACAGCTCCTGGCTTGTATTGGGCCTCGTTAGAGACTGAATACCCAGTTGTGAGCAATCAGGTGACCATGTGGCCTGAGCTTCCCTTCACGAATGAGGCGTTGTCTGACCCATTTTGCCAGAGTGGGAATGGACAGCAGCACTCTGTTATCAAATGGAGATGGTATATAGGTGGGTCTGTAAGCTATGGCTAGCTTATATGAGCAGGTGGCTCAGAAACCCTTGAGGCCAGCTTCTGTTTCATTGTTTCCTTCAGACCATGCCTGTGGCCTCCTGGGAATTCCTTATGACCAGGTGGACAAAGAAGAAAAAACTTGAGCCTGGCTTACAAATGAGTCTTTATGACATGCTGCTACCACTCAAAAGCAAACATTGCAGCCCTAAAGCCCCACTCAAGACTGACCACGAATGACAGTGATGAAGGAAAGTCCATCTGGTGGGCATAACTTTGAGAAGTGTGTGTGTGTGTGTTTCCTGTTATATTTTGAGTAGGTGACCAGAGATAAGCATCTACATTGATTAATGGACAGTTTCTGATGTTTTGTCTGGATGGTCAGGGACTTGGAAGGAAAAGGATCTGAAGGCAGGTGACAAGGAAGTGTAGGGAAAAGGTGTGTGGATGGACTACTCTTGAAGATTGTGTCCCTTGTGAATGCCCAATAAAGGGCATGTACTGCAAAGGAGACTCTTGCTAATGAGGTGGACAAAATGGTGTGTTTTGTGAATGTCAGTTAGTCTCTTTCTGTAGCTACCTTAGGGCTTCCTCAGTGGGCCCATGAGATAGTGGCTGTGTTGGCAGGGCTGGGAAGTCCATCCTTCAACAATACGGCCTTTCTCTTAACAAGGTTGACCTGGGTAATGCTATTGCTAAGTGCCTAATGTGCCAACAGAGAGTCCAGCATTGGGTCCCTGATATAGCACCATTCTTCAAGGGAACCAACCAGCTATCTGTTGGTAGTTGACTACAGTGGCCCTGTTCCATCATAGAGAGGGCAAAGATTTATCGTCACTGGAATAGCCACATATTCTTCATATGAATTTGCTTTCCCTATAATGCTTCTGCTAGCACCACCATCCATGGATTCACAGAATACTTTATCCACTGTCCTGGCATTCTGTATTGCTTTGCTTCTACTCAGGGAATGAATTCCACAACAAGGAAGGTGTAGAATGGGCTTATGTCCTTGGAATTAATTGGTCTTGCCATGTGCCATGTATCCTGTTACCTGAAAGTGGCTGGAATTGAAAGGTGGAATTGATTACTCAACAA